CACAATTCCCACCCTCCTGTCTCCCCAATGGACAATACCCACATTAACGGCCATTTGTGACATTGCTGTGGATAAACTGGCTGTGACATTTGCCTATCGGATACACAGCCACTACACTTTACAGTAAATCCTGTGATGTGCTTTGAACGTCCTCCCTTTGTGAATGTGGCTGTATCAAATGTAAGGAATATTATTGTTAAAAGCACTGGCAGTCAACCGATGTTGTCCAAATTAGGTTTGGTTCCTTGCTTGCTGTTTGCCAAGACACCGAGAGAAACTCCCTTCTCTTTTCGAATACAGCCATGGGATCTTTAATGTCCACCTGAACAGGCAGACGCGACCTTGGTTTAATGTCTCACCCAAAGGGATGGCACTTCCAACAACACAACACACGCCCAGCATTGCAATGGGAGTGTCAGCCTGGACTGTGTGAATCAAAGTCCCAACATGATCTTTAAAGAATAAAGAACCCTTTTACTTGAAACGGGTTCAGCTCCTTACCCACAGCACCTCGAATGTATACACAGCATTCCAAACAATTTTAAAAGACTCCAGCAGGTCTGTTTATATCACGGTTTCTAAATTTGTCTCAGGAATTTCTAGTTAAAGCTGCGCTGCAGAGAAAAATGCCCCGCTATTCCCTTCGCAGTCCATTCACTTCTATGTTGCGAGTTTATTTTATCTTAACGCCATCTCTATTACTCTTTGTCCACATTCGATACAGAAACAGTTGTTCCCTTTTTTCTCGCCCTTCCCTCTCTCCTCCCCCTCCCACACCAAACATCATGAATGATTTGGTTTAATTTACGAAGCATGCAATTACTCACTTCACTCAGTGAGGATTCTTGTGATCTGTATGTTTATTGTGTTGGGGCCAGTTTCTGAACAAAGCTGGATAATTCCTTCATGGAAGGGATGTGCGACCGCTTTGTGGATGTTGTCTTTAAGCTTGAAGACCTGACTTGGCCAACAGTCTGCTCAACTGCTGTGTGCAAATTGGCTGCCTGGGTTTGCCTAAAAAATAATCACTCCACTTCAAAGTAAAATTCTGTGAAGTGCTTCGAGATTTCTGGACAACGTGATGAGGCACTATATCAAATGCGAGGATTATTATTATTACTTGTTCTGAGGCACAGTCTGATGTCAGAGGTCAGCCAACAACAACTTGCATTGATATGATTTCTGAAAATAGGGCAACATCTCAAAGTGCATCACAGAGTCAGTGGTGGACACCCAGTTAGGGAGGATGGGGGAGCAAGGCAACTGTTGTCAAGATCAAAGTGGGATTGGTTTTCAGAAGACTTTAAAAGAGAAAGGGGGAGGCAGAACCATTTAGGGAGGTTGTTCCAGAGTAAAGGCATAGTGCCTGAAGGCTTGGTCGCCAATAGTGAGACAAGGAAATGCACGACAGGCAACTTACCGAGCCGCGGGGGGTTGGGAGATGGGGTTCTGGAGAAGGTCAAAGACGGACAAGAGTGATCGGAATTTGTAGACAAAACAACAACTTGGATTTATATAGTACCCTCCACGCTGGATGGAGTCTCAGAGCGCTTTATAGTAACAGATCCCGGCGCCGAGCCAGGGGGAGGGGGAGGAAGGTCACCAAAGGCGCGGTCGAAGAGAAAGGTCTTCAGCAGAGACCTGAAAATAGGAAGAGAGCGAGTGAGGCAAAGGGAGTGAGGAAGGGAGTTCCAGAGCCTCAAAGCATAGTGGCTGAAGGCACGGCTGCCGAGTGTGGAGCGGAGGACTCGGGGGACGAGGAGGAGGCCAGACCCGGAGGAACAAAGGCAATGGATACTGTTTTGAAGAGAGAAGAGGTCAGAGAGGTAGGGGGGTGAAGAGCAGTGGAGGGATTTGAATACAGGGGTGAGGATCTTGAAGTAGAATACTTCATTGGGGGAGAGCCAGGATTCAGTGAGCCCAAGAATGTCAAGGTGCTCGTCCAAGATGAGGTCGTGAAAGGTGAGGGCTTTATTTGAGAGGGAATGGACGTTTTGGAGGGAAATGCGGGTGGGTTTGCAGGAGGGAGGAGAGAGTGATGCGGAGAGGATTTTGGGATGTACAGGAGAGATGGTTGTGGAGAGTGGTGTGAGGGGAGTTGGGGAGGGTACGTATGAGGGAGGGGGAAGTTGGGTTTGCCTTAAGGAGGCGGTTTGAGCGGAGAGAGTGAATGATTGGACATGTGGGGTTGCTGCTCTGGGACAGCCAGTGCTGGGAGCCACGGAGCCACAGGAAAGGATCTTGAAGTCAATCGTGGAGAAAGTGGAGCCTGGTGAGGACGGGCAAAGATGAGTATGTGAAGTCAAGTGCAGGTGAGGGTGTAAGCAGGTGATTTGCAGTGTGGGTTCTGATCCTCTTACTGAGCAATCTCCATCAGAAATGTTTCAAATTGGACTGTCAATATCAGATGCTTAATAGGATAGAGAAAGTAAATCCAGAACAATATTTTCAGATGTACTGAGGCAAGATGGTGACAGGGCATGGGTTCAGGGGTGTGAAGGGCAAATTCAGGATATAGGACATAAAAATTTCTAGACGAAAGATCAAGGTCCATCCAACTCACCTTCCACCATCCTGGCAGTTGCATATGATATGTCCCAAACTATATAGTGTTTCCCAAGATATTATTTCCTAAATGAAATCTATCTAATTTGTTTTTGAAAGAATTAACACTTTCTGCTTCCACCGTCTTCCTAGGGAGTCAGTTCCATACATTTACTGCTCGCTTACTGAAGTATTGTTTCCGCAGATTTGTCTTGAATTTAACCCCTTCAATCGCAGGCCGTGTACTCTGGCTCCAAGCAAGACTACAACCATATTTATATAGCGTCGTTCGCATCGAAAGCACATCCCAACGTGCTGAAGAATTAAGGGTTTGCACCGAGCTGGGGGTTGGAATCAAGACACCAGAAAGTAGTACTCACATAATGGGATAATTGACAGCTGGAATGACTACCCAGGTAAGGAAATGCAGGTGTAATGGGTTTGAGTCACAGGTTTGGAACAGCAGCGAGGGCGAGGTACCAGGATGAGATCAAATGACCGAAGGGCTTTCATCGAAACTGCTTTTGATTTTGTGTGCACCTGCAAAGGTCTGGGAACTGAAAAGGTGCAGCAAGGTAGGGAAACCACAGGCGGGAATGGAGAGAACGAGAGTCTGTTATGCAGAGCAAGTCCAAACACAACCTGAATTCCACAGGTATGTAAGATTCAGCTGCTGTCAATTGCTGTCTGTTCAGTCAGATGCAGGCTCCACAGTGATACTCAGTCATACCCTGGATATCACTTTTTCTCCATTAATTTTGGAAGGACGTGTGTGCGTGGGGGGTGAGGAGGGGAAGAGGGGTGGGGGTGCAGGCAGAGAGAGGAAAAGAGAGATTTGACAAGACTGAAGGAAACCTCATTTTATAACAAACACCGATGTGATTTGAGGGAGCAAGTCTTGGGAACAAACTGCAAGCAAATGAGAAGCTCGCACACTCAAACTTCAGATGCTTAACCCAAGCAAATTTCACGCTTTCCCCAATTTGAAGTGAAATATTTCCTCGTAATTTTGATTTTTTCTTCTCTTTAAAACTATAACGTGCGCAAAACTAACGTGGAAAAAAGTGGGGGTTCAGCCAGGCGTCTGACACACACGGAAACTCTTCACCATGCTTCAGAGTATCCGAACGAGACACAATTTCACATCCGCACATCACATGGGAATTTCCATGTCTGGAACGAAATGTGAAATCTCTCCCTCGAGGGACGCACCCTGCTTACCTAATTCCAGAGAGCATTAGCCCAAGTTAGCAAGATTCAAGGCTTGGGTGACTCCAGAGTGTGTGTCAGGTGACAGCCGGAGTTTAACCAGGTAAACTTGCACAGCTCGCCATTGAGAGCATGGCCTGGTGAGCTTTCCCACTGCTGGTCCAGGTTGGATCACCTTTCCAGGGTTATCAGAAAGTGTGTAGAATCCCTGCCCTCAGTGTCTAGTCTGCCTCTCCAACAATAATAATAATAATAATCCTTGCATTGGATATAGCTCCTTATCATGTCTTCGAGACGTCTCAAAGCGCTTCACAGAATATACTGTAAAGTGAATTGACTGTATATCTTGTGGGGAAAACGTGGCAGCCAATTGCGCACAACAGTGGCCCACAAACAGTCGTGAATTGAGTGCCTAAATTATTTTATTTTTTAAACAACTATTACCCCTGGAAAAGCAATCCACCAATCAACTAACAACCGGGTTCCTACTTACTGCGAGGTAAACGGAGGTGTGTGGAGTAAGGAAATTTGCCCAACATTTCGCCCTGCCGGGAATCGAACCCAAGTCCTGCCAATGAGCCGGGCTGACTGGTCTGTCATCAGCAGTGCCCTGGAGTACTGGAGACTCACTTGGCTCAGGAACCGAACTACGGAGACTGTCATAGAGGGTTGACTTTCCGCTGTCAACCCAAGTAACCTCAGAGCCGGCTCAGCTCAGACCCAACAAAGCAACAACAAAATGACATTTAGAGTGTCTTTCACGTCGGGAGAACATCCCAAGGCGCTGGACAGTCAGGGGTCAGGACCCGAGCATGGGGGAGGGATGGGGTACGGGTGAGGGAAGGTGGAGAGGGCGACGATCCAAGTGGAGGGTCTTGAGACCAGCCTTGAAGGAGGCAAGGGAGAAAGCGAGGCGAAGTGACCGTGGAATGGAGTTCCAGAGAGGCTGAAAGCTCGGGCACCGATGGTAGGGCGGGAAACAAGGAGCAGGCCGGAACCCGCTGAACGGAGGGAGCGGGCAGGTTGGTAAGGAGTCAGCAGGTCTGGATGATCTGCAGCTTGTGAAGAGACGGCCAATGAGGAGGGAATTTCCATAATCGAGCCTTGAGGTGACGAATGCGTGGGTGAGGGTTTCGGCAGCCTGAGGGGTGAGGCGGTGGAGCAAGCCCTGAAACCGCCAATGCTGGGCCAGGCAAGCAGTGAGCTTCCATTGCTGAGAAGATTAAACACTGAATAAAACCCATGGATCGCTTGTGTAACTTTTCCCTTTAATTTAAAGAAAAACAAAATCAAACTAAGTCGACCGTGGAGTAATCAAAAAAAAGTCAAATCAAACCAGACCGATATGTACACAAACAGTGAACAAGCTACACAATTGCTCACAGCCTGTACGTACTGCATTTCTGCTGTGCATATTATGATGGTATTTAAAACGTTTTTTTTTCCGTTGCAACTATTAAAAGTTTTTGCTTTATTTCCTTAATAAATCAAACCACGATAAGAGTGGAGAAGGCTCACATCCATTTCAGTCGCCTGCAGGCACCTCAAGAGAAAGGCCGTGCTCCACTTCAGAACCTGGCACGTCCCGAATAGATTCACATGAAAGTCATCAAATGATGTCAAAAAGTGAGAGCGGTCAGATTGTGCTGGTTACTGAATTTGACAAAGACCTTCTAACTATTTATCCACTCTACTCTGAGGCGGGGAAGTGTGGAAGGAGTGATATAATAACCCCATTGTAATAATCCTTTCATTTGATAAAGCTATTGCCTCATCATGTTGAAACGTCTCAAAACGCTTCACAGAATTTTACTAGGAAGTGTGCATCTTGTTGCACTGTCCCACGAACACCTGTGAAACGATTAACCAATTTTAATCTGAGGAATTGTTGGCCAGGACACTGGGTGAAACTCCCTTCTCTTCCCGTGAAATCTTTAATCTGCACAGGCAGGTGGAACGTCAGTTTTAACGCTTATCTGAAGGGCCTCACCTCCGACAATGCAACACGTCCCCAGCACTGCATTGGAGCGCCAGCCTGAACTGTGAACTCCAAGTCCTGATGTGGGGCTTGAACCCGCAACAATCTGATTTATAGAGGCGAGAGCGCTCCTGAATGAGCCAGGCTGAAATAGATGGCTACTTTGTGTGCAAACCATCATCTGTAACAAAACACTGTCGAGGCTCGTACACCTCTGCTGACAGCCTGTGAACAGTAGAGAGTTGGCTCCCTAAGCCCCAACATTAAAAACAATTCACCCGATGCCTGAAATGGTCAGAAGCAGAACTACTTTTCTTGCCCGATACAATAAATGCTCGGTAACTTTATGGTCAGATCAGCTTGAGTGAATGAAGCTCACAGATCAATACCACAGAAACAACCAGAGCATTCAATATCAACGGGAAATGTCTTGGTTGCACGACATCTCTCTCCCCCCACCGCTCCCCAACTCCCCTTCTGAAAGAAAAAAAGATGCAAGGCCTCTAGCAGATTCTGTTTGTTTTTACCCTGTTTGTGGGGTGTCAGCTGGGTATCAGACACGTGCAGAAACCTATCATCATGCTTATAACTATCCAAACCAAACACAGTTCTACATATGTAGGACACCTACACGTGAATTTTCCCTGCATTTGGAATTAATGTGCTCTCTCCCCCCAGTTACCTAATTTGGGGGAGTATTACACACACACACACACACACACAGGTTGGCAAGAGCCAAGGCTTGGGGACGCCAGAGTTTGCATTTGGATAACTGCTGGCATTTAACCAGCTAATGCCTGTAATGGCATAGTTTACCCATTTTATGGCCTGGCTTGCAGGGCTAACAAGTGATTTTAAAGTGGACGTGTATACATTGCACAAGATAGCAGTGCTGGTAAAAGTGCTGGCAAGTCCAAAGGTGGAAAAGTTACAGAACTCAGAGGCTCAGGTCTCTGAGCTACTCGTTGCACACAACAGTCTCTCCCCTCCACCCCAGTTTGGAAGCAGCTAATTCAAGTGACGATCTTTGCCACATTTACTACTCACCCCCCTCCCAACCCCACCTACCTTGAGAAACGAACCTTCACATTCAATATTCTCCACCAGTGGACCACTAACTCGGAGACATTATTTAATCTAATCGATTTCCATCCTATTTACAAGTTTGTGTTTTTTGTGTGATTAAATGTTGCTTAGTTCACCACGCAATCTCCTGGAGGAACAATGCTTAAAATCAGAGGCTTTTGCGAGCACAAAAAAAGGCAATATTGCAGGAGTCTGAGCTTGTGCAGCACAGTCAGTCAGTCAGTCCCGAGTTTAAACCCAGGCCCGAGTATTTCCACCGACTTTCATTCTGGATCAATGATCCGAGTATAAATAAATATTCAAGTTACTAAAACAAAAAAAATCATCTGATTGGATTTTGAAGGCAGGAAATCCAATGGCAATCTCTTTATTTGTTTTTCCTTTAAAAAATATCGCTGTAAACTACTCTTGGGCTGAAAAGTGTCCACGGTTCACATAACAGAGCATTTGTTCTTGTGATGGTGTGGGTTCTTGAACCGAAGTCTCATCTTTGGCCGGTACTTTTCCAGGTAGGAGAGCTGCTTGCTGTTGATAGCCCCTCGGCGTTTCCTGGGTCGATGTGACGAGGGCGGGCAGATGAAGGGATGGGGTGGGGTGGGGGGGGAAGAGGGGTGGTGGGAGGATGACAACAGTGTAGTGATAGTGGGAAAACAACAACAAAGGGATGGGAGGGATGGAGAAAAGAAAAAGCAATAAAAATGAAAATTAAGTTTTTCCTTCCCCTCCTCCTTATAAATGAGCAACAATTGCACCAACATTAGTTTCAAAAGATACACAACTACACTCTACAGACCATTGAGGTCTCCCCCCACCCCCCTCCCCTAACCAATGTATTTGCCACCTCCAAATTACACTTATCCTCACCATTACACTGGGACTGGCTCTACGGTTAGATCTGACCAATTTTTAAGCACCGAGTCAAACATGGAGCCAGCCATGGTACTGAAGATATGATGCTACATCAAAGTAAGATAAATCTTTCATGTTAAAATATTTTTATAATCCTCGCATTTGGTATAGCACCTTTCACGTCAGGAGATGTCTCAAAGCGCTTCACAGGTTTTACCGTAAAGTGTATTCCATGGTAGCCAGTTTGGGCACAGCAATGTCCCACAAACAGCCGTGAAATGAAGGACAAACTTTTATCTGGGGTAATTGTTGGGCGGGACACCGGGAAAAACCTGGATGTCGACAAATTGGCTGTGAAGCGCTTGGAGATGTTCTGATGTTTTAGGTGCTGTATAAAATGAAAGGATTACTATTAATTACATAATCACCCGTGATTCCTCTGTACACATGGTTCAGGTGGTGATTAATTGCATAATTTGTTCTCCTCGGCTCTTGTGGTAAGTTAGGCTGTTTGCCCCTTGGCAAAAAATTCTTGCAATTGAGTCGCGTAAACAGATCCCAAGTTTGGTTGCTCACGGTCGAGCGGCAAGCTCAACAATCACTTTGGGTTGCACAACAGATGATGGGGATGAAATGGCGACTTACTGTCTGATGAACTGAATGGCATCTTCATACTTCATTCCACTTTCAATGAGAGCAAGTGCTACCAGTACTGGAGCCCTAAGGGTTTTAAACAAAGAACAAGACAGACCTAAGTACTGAAATTCCATGAAACATTGCTCAGCCTCTCCACAGTGAAAAATAGTCCAAACCCCACCCACCAAATACAATATACACGTTACACCTTTCATGTCAGGAGAACACCTCAAAATGCTCGACAATGCAGGACAAGCTGGGGTGGGAACCGAGGGGAATGAGGAGGAGAAATATGATGAAAAGAGGTACGTTTCGAGATGTGCTTTGAACGAGGAGAGCAATGGAAGTACGCCCACCGATGGAAGGGCGGATAGAGCTGAGAACCTGTTTGCCGAAATAAGCAAATGAGCCAAGGATGTTGAAATAGGTAAATGCGGATCGGGAAAAGAAATGAGAAGCACTTCTGCAGAATGACCGGGATGGGGGTGGGATGAGGGGGGGCAGGGTTGCAGGAGGTTGCAGAGATACTGTGAGAGAAGCAAACATGTTCTAAATGTTAAGAGTGTTCTGTACACTTACCGTCCAAGGCCAGCGACGCAGTGGACAGCCACGCAGCTACCGGGGTCTTCACAAAACTTAGTCTTAAGCAAACTGAGCCAATCATCCACTACTTTGGTTGGAGGTGGAGCACCATCGTCGAAAGGCCAATCCTTCAAAAAATTCGTAGAAAAACACAAAACATATTTTGCAGTGCAATAAAGAGAAGTGTTGACAACTATCTGTCAAGGAGTATCACAACAAATACAGCTTCTGCTTACAAAACGAACATTGTGAAACTTTTAAGACATCTGCATACCCGAGGTGACCTAAAAGCAAATTACCTTTTAACTAGGTTCTAATCTAAACACACATGAACTAAACATTAATCTAAAAACACACTCAGTCCCACACTCTTTATGTGGTTTGGGGAGAGTGGAGGAAATAGAACAAAATACATTCTGATCATAAAATATAATAGTTTCTATTTACATAGTACCGTTTGGGGACATGTCTCAAACTCCTCCAATCATGACAACCATTTTCTAGGCTATTTTACCCAAAGCCATGCCAAAGTCAAATTCAGATTTCAGATCTGTTGCACCGTTTTCTATTGTGGATGGACTGCCCCCGTGTCTTCTGATCGCTGATCAGAAATGTGTGCGTACACCATCAGTTCCTCTCTGCATTTGAATGTTTGTGGCATTTGTTTATCACTAACCAAGGTCTTGTCTAGTAACTGTCATTTAATACAATTAACCAAGCTTTAGTCCAGTAATATCAGTCACTAGCCAAGGTTTAGTTAAAATAATCCTTACATTTGATATAGTGCCTCTCACATCAGGGGGACATTTCAAAGCACTTCGTAGGATATATTGGAAGGTGCAGTGCAGTGACTGTGTGCTTTGGGGGGAAAAGTGGCCACTAATTTGCACACAGCAATGTTGCACAAACAGCCATGAAGCAATAAATAATTTTATTGGGGGATTGTTGTCCAAGATCCCAGGAGAAACTGTCTTCACTTTTCGGTATAAACGTCCACCTGAATGAGCAGATAGGGACCTTGGTTTAATGACTCTTCCATACCCTGGTACCTCCAATGGCGCTCTCTCTCCAGCACTGCACTGGAATGTCAGCCGAGACTATAGGAGTTTGAATAGACTACATACTTCTTGGTCCATCAGTAGCTATTCATACTCTAGTGAAGACTGTATAAAATATTACACTGAAATGTTTCAGTTTGTGAAATCACAGGACGAATGAATTAGCACCACAACAGCAGCAAGTTAATCTCACGTCTGGATTGTGTCTGGTATTTATTAGAAGCGTAAACAATGTTTCTGGTGAAAAACAATCTTTCCCGCACAGGTTATGAATTCAAATTGCAATTTCACCTTTTCCTTTCTCTTTGCCAAGTTATTTTCTTTCTAAGTTCCCCTCCTTTCCTGAAAACATTAGTAGGACATTTTTACCTTCCATTGAGGTAAGAGGCACACTCTGGCAAATTGCTCAAGTAGCCAATACTCAAGCATGGATTGTGCATGTTGGCAGGCAGGTGCCAGGCGAGCAGAGGTGCCCGGAGGTGGATTGGGGAGTGAGGAGATTGGAGAGGTAGAGAGGTGCTAGGGAGTGAATGGATTTGAACACAATTTAATAATCCTTGCATTTGATTATAGCATCTTATCATGTCTTTGAGAAGCCTCAAAGCGCTTCCCAGAATAAAACGTAAAGTGAATTGACTTTGTGGAGTCCTGTAGCTCAGTGGTTAGAGCACTCGCCTTGCAAGCGAGAGATCTGGGCTTGATTCCCGCCAGGGCGAAACGTTGGGCAAGTTTTCTTACTCCACACGCCACTGTTTACCCATCAGTAATTAAGAACTCTGTTAGTCGATTGGCAGATCGCTTTTCCGGGGGTAATAATTCCTTCAAAAAAATAATAAATAAATTGTTCACTCAATTCACGATGGTTTGTGGGATGCTGCTGTGAGCAATTGGCTGCTGGGTTTCGCCGACAAAATACGCAGTCAATTCACTTTACAGTATATTCTGTGAAGCACTTTAAGACGTCTAGAAGATGCGATAAGGCGATATATCAAATGCAAAGATTATTATTAATTGTGCTTGCCTGTATAAACTTCTGCCTGGAGGACTTTAGTTACTTAGTACTGCACAGTCCAAAGCAATTCAAAGCGTCAGTACAATGAAACTCCTCAAAGCACTACATAACTGGGTATAGTGAAGACTCTCGAAGACGTGATAAGGCGCTATATCAAATGCAAGGATTATTATTAGATATTTTGTGGGCAAAACACGGCAGCCAATTGTGCACAGCAGTGTCCCACATTGCATTTATATCGCGTTTTCCTGGTCAGCAGCATGTCCCAAGGCGCTGGATAGTTGAGGGTTTGCATCCAAGATGGGGGTTGGATCTGGGAAGGTGATTAAAGATGTTGTCAAAGTGGAAGTCTTGAAATGGGCCTTGAAGGATGCGGAAGAAGGGGCGAGATGAAGGGACTCCAGGATGGGGTTACAGGGAGTGGGGGCAGAACAGCTGAAGTCCCAACCGCCGATGGTGGGGTGGGCAGGACAGGGGACGTACACCAGGTCAGGACTCGCCAAGCGGAGTGAGTGGATGGGTTGGTAGAGATTTAGAAAGTCACAGACAGGGATTTAAAAGTGAGAACGAGGATCTCGAACTCAATCCTCAAGGTTCCAACTGTGATCCCTCCTGTCCGTAGTATACGTAGGTCTGAGTTTGCGAAGGGGCCTGGAAATATTTCCCGACATAAATTAATTTGCAGGAAAGGGTGGTTGAGGCTGGGACATCAGACTCATTTAAGAAACCTTTTGTTTAATGTATTAATGGAAAAAAAAAGTAGGGATGACGCCCTGCAAAGATGAGATCAAATGGGCTAAAGGCTTTCCTCATCCAAAGTTCTCTTGTGATCTATTGTTAGATATGGGAGGAGCAATTATATCTGGATGGTTGTTTGAACCACACCTAAAAGACAAAACTGAATGTACAATTACCCTGAATCGTCTTTCTTGTTCAGCCAAAGGCAAATTACGGTAACTTCCTAGCACAATGTATTCACTTACTTATAATCGTATAAAGTTGCGTAAATTTCCTGGGTACAAATCCATTAAACAGTTGGAAATAAACATGATTACAGCTTTGAAGCAAAACAGAAGCCAAACAACATAGCTGTAATCTGACCTATTGAGCTTGGCACAAGAGCTATGTAATTTAACGAGGAAAGTTATGGAAGAAAATGTTTGATTACATCATTTGGAACCAGATAAGTGGAAAAAGTGTGATTAAAAAACTTCCCTACTATATGCACTGATGGAGGTGGTGGCGGAAATTACTCACAGAGATGTTCAAATGTGAACATCTGACATGAATGCTGTTTGAACAGCAATCAAAACATTGCAAACAAGGTCCATCAGTTCAAGCATCTGACAGCTTGCTTATTGTCTAAATGAATGCTAACATGCATTCTAAACGTTGGTTGGAAGACATTTATTGGTTGAACCTAGAAGGTTGGTTGTTAAGTCAGTGTTCTCCAATAGACATGACAGTGAGAGAAAAATAAAATACCTGAAAGTTAGTACTAGATTAATTTTACTTATGGATTTGAACAGTTAGTGACTATCATCTTTTTTTGTGCAGTTTTATCTCCTCAATGGGATCAGTTGTCTAGGCTACAGAGAAACCTGGTTCCAATGTGCTCAGGGGTTGATTCACAGACAATCCAGAGAGAAAGAGAGAGTGCAAGAACAGAATTATCACTTGACTAAACAGATGATCTGACATTTGTATCAGTGGAGAATGTGCTTTCAGCCACTAAAACCCTGAAACTTTGGAACTCTCTCCCTCAATCTCTTCACCTTGCCTCTTCCTTCACTGTTTTCAAATAACACCTGAAAACCTTCATTTTCAACCATGCCTGCGGTCACCTTCCCCCTCCCCCTGGCTCTTAAGCGCTCTGAGACACCGCTTTATAAATGCAAGTTGTGTTGATGTTACTGGATATCAAGGGTAAGACATGGAATGTGGCTTAGAAACTGAAGGAACGAGAAAGAGGGGGTAAAGGTATTGAGGTCCATCAGAGGTCCATGTTGGACGCAGCAAAGTGTGGGAGGGGGAGGGTATGTTGTTGGGAGTATGGTCCTTCAATGTTCTCTTCTCTGATCCCCCTGTACTTAGGAGTCGTAGGTCTGAGTTTGTGAAGAACCCAGGATATATCTCCTGACACAAATTAATTTGCAGAAAGGGGTAGTTAAGGCCACGGCAACGTGCCACCCTTTGCACAAAGAAGTTCCTCCTAAACTCTATTAAAGCTGTTTGTGGCAATCCTATATTTATTCCCCCATTGTCTTGTATCCCCGAAAGCACTAAATGCAAAACAACATAAAATCCTCTATCGCTGAAGAGGGAGCTTCATCTGCCTGAAAGGGGAGGACGGTGGAGGAGAGAAAGACTGAGAATGGAAACAAAAAGAATACTTATATATTCTTACACAGAAGTGCCCTTTTTCCTCGCTCACTTCCTGGTAAACAAGATAAAACAGCAAGGTTACCCCGACCTCCAGCAATGCTACAAAACAGAGTGACTGCACTTCACAGTATATTATATCCTGAGAAGCGTTTGGAGACTACCTCCTGACATAAAAGATGCTGTTTCAAATGTAAAGAATAGTATTATGAGTAGTAATGCTCCTTTGGGGATGCGACGATGCTCATGATGACTGACCTTTCCTGTTTGCTTCGACTGAACAAAAGCTAGGAGGGAAAAGCTAGGTGGTTGGCTGCAAGGGAAGAACTATATTTTTTTTTATTCAGCCATCACTATGCTTCAGATTATCCAAACCAAACTGAGAATTCCATGCATCCCACCTACACACGGAAATCCCAGAGATAGATTGTCGGAATGGAATGCGCACTCTCTCTCTCCCTGGAGGGACGCATTCTGCTTACCTAATTCCGGAAAGTATTAGGCACAGGTTGGCATGAGCCAAGGCTTGGGGACCCCAGAGTGTGCGTTGGGGTAACTGCTGGAGTCCAACCAGCTAAAACCGCATAGCTTGCCATTGATATCGATGTCTGGCAAGCTTTCTCGTTACATGTCCAGCTAAGGGAGGAACTAAAAGTTGTTGTCTTAATGCGATTGCTCACCATTACTGCAATGCCATCCTTCTCCAGCGGGCTCTTGTCATACGTGACCTCGCACACTCTCACCACAGTGGTCACACTGTACTTCTTCAGTTCCTGAAAGAGACACAAGCAGAATGAGACGGGTTGGGTAGATGCACAAACTATGGAGACTACTTAAAGGTGGCTCATGAGATGGACCTTCAATGAGGTGAGTGAGAGAGTCGGAGGGAGCTGAGAGCAGGGGTAAGAGATTGAAAGCTTGCTCGCCAATGGTGGGATGAACAGGGCAGGGAACACAAAGCATGAAGCAGGATGGTGCTCACTGAGCAAAAGGAGTGACTAGGGTTTGAGAACGTCACTGAGATTGGGTGGGGTGAGACCATGAAGAGATTTAATAGGCCATGAATGCACACAAATCCCAGAAGCCACGAGAAAAGTAGAGAATTAAGCTTCTTTTCCACAGAGAAAATAGTGTGTGTGTGTGTGTGTGGACAGGAGTGAACAATAGGACAGTGGAAAAAACACCAACTCAGACAAAGTGCCATTGAAGGTCCTGAGTTAATTTATTGGTTAACAACTACACAATATCCCACCCAAACTTTGGACTACTTATTAATTTCTTGTTGAGCGCTCAAAGACACTACCCCATGTGAGGGACTCACTTTGTTGTTGTTTTGGCAAAAGCAAGGCTAAGCCCGAATGGGTACGATGGTTTTAGCTGGACAACCAGCGAGAAGCTTGCTAGATGTTTTCAATGGCAAGAAATGCGGATTGGGCTGGTTAGACTTCAGCAGTTACCCCAAAGCACAAGCCTCAGCTCTCGCCAAACTGTATCTAATACTCTCTAGAATTAGGTTATCAGGGTGCGTCCCACCAGACGAGTGCATATTCCATATAGAGGGAAATCTCCCTGTGTAGGTGGCATAAATAAACACGGCAGCCAATTGTACACAGCAATGTCCCACAAACAGTTGTGGATTGAGTGACCAAATTATTTATTTATTTTATTAGCCTTTTTGAAGGGATTATTACCCCCCCGGAAAATGATCCTTCAGTCGACTAGCAACTGGGTTCCTACTTACTACTAAGTAAACAGGAGGCGTGCAGAGGAAAGAAACTTGTAAACTTGTCTACAGTTTCGCGCTGCCCAGGAATCGAATACGGATCCTCTCACTTGCCAGGCAAAATGCTCTTTGTGTATTTATAGTCAAGGTGGTATGTGGCCATTAAAAATCCACTTGGTAATTAAGAGCAATCTTAGGATTGTTCTTGTGACCTTGATATCACAAGAATCTGTAGATTTGTTTGCCTCACCAATGTTGTATTTGAACCTCGTCGTCCCCAGCAAATAAAAAAAANCTGTTAATGTGAGAAGCAGAGTGGAGCGAGGTGACCGTGTGACTGTAATACAAGATGTCCCAGAACAGTATATGGAAAAGGTCAACAACCATTTGAACCATGGAGTTACCCTAAGTTACCATCAGTGAAAAGAGGCTGAGAAGCAAAGTTAGCGTGTGATTGGGGAGGAAAGAATTAATCAAATATAGGATGTGTGGCATATTCATTTGGTATTCTCTTGAAGCAATAATGTAGTGATACGTTTAAAGTGGGGGAGATGGTCAGGGAGGGGAAGGAGAAATTGAAGGAACCTGGAAGGGCTGCGAGGAGCACTTTCAGTCTAAATGTTTGCTCCATAAATAGCCTGCCAAACACTTCTCTTTTCCACCTCAGCTCAGCAAAATACACCATCACCGACACTAACGGAATTTTGTTTACATGTGCTCCCCTCCACACACCGACGTGCCCCACTGCTCCACCGGTCTCCCTTTTCACTGGTTTACACCTGCGGGCAGCTTCCTGGCTAAAATGGTTGTTGACCTTCTCCATAAGAGGACACAGACACAGACTTGCAAAGGAGTTGCAAGGAGCAGTTTCAACACAGACACCAGGATTTCTTTACCTAGAGAGTAATTAATGATTGGACCGGGTCACTAATAATAATAATAATAATCCTTGCATTTGATATAGCGCTTTTCACATCGGGAGGACGTCCCAAAGTGCTTCACAGAACACACTGTAAAGTGAATTGACTGTATATTTGTGGGCGAACGTGGCAGCCAATTACGCACAGGAATGTCCCACAAACAGTCGTAGATTGAAAATGACCAATTTATTATTGTTTTATTCTTTGGAGGGATTATTATTAGGCTCTGTGTGGAGTAAGGAAACTTGCCCAAGGTTTCGCCCTCTGCCTGGAATTGAACTCAGGTCTCTCACTTGCAAAGCGAGTGCTCTAACCACTGAGCTACAGGACTCCACTCCACTAGGAAGGATGGTTGAAGACCAGGACATTGAACTGATTGAGTCAAAAAGGAACTTGATGCTGGGACAGGGGGATGGGTAGCGTTGGTATTTTGGAGTGCTGAGATCAGAGGGTTGAAGGGACGTTCTTCATCCAGACCAATCTTGTGACCCTGTGATATCCTGTTCTGGGACATCTCGTATTACTGTCATACGGACACCTTGCTTCACTCTGCAGCTCAGATTAACAGTTTATGTTTCGTGATTCGCTAGGAGAGGGGGGTGGTGTAGGAGAAATGGCATTTAAATTGTACATTTGGTGAGACAAGCAAATCTAGAGATTCCTGTGATATCAGGATTAGATTGACTAAGCACAAGCCTCCTGTGGCTCTTAATTGACCATGTGGATTTTTTAGTGATGATATATCACCTCAACCACAAATGTGGAAATATAATCCTTATGTAGCACCATTCACATCTTGAGGATGCCTCAAAGTGCTTCCCAGGATTTACTGTACAGTGTAAAATTCTTACATTTGATATAGTCTCTATTATCATGTCAGGCGGATTCTTCAAAACATTCCCACGATTTACGTAAAGTGCAGTGAAAAGCCAGCACTTTCTCAGTTGTGACTCTCAATATTAAGACTAAATTGCCCCTTAAGACTGAATCGAATCCTCCTCCCCTCCCACCCCTCTTCGAAGTTTTGCTCTTCTGGAGCTCCCCATTCTTCTCCCCAAAAAACATAGTAGAGATAAATGAGTGGCCGGAGGTTTGGGTGGAAACAGCATGCAATTGACAATCAGCAGATCAGCTCATCATCTCAGGACTACAATAAATAATTTGACAAATTCCTCAATCCCTTGTCAGACTGGCTGCCTATTAAACAGAGTTTCAGGTTGTAATAGACCCAACAATGTTAAGCCTCCGCTGTAGTAGGCTGTGTAGTAATTATGGAAAATAGCTCAGTTTTTAAGATGTTTGAAACTACATGTCTCAACATGCTGGAAACCCTGATGGAAAATTCTACCATCTGTATTCAAACTCAATTACAGGGAGGGTGGCCCCATAATAAGGCATCCTGGTTGAGTGTGTGTGTATTTGTGTGGGTGGGGTATGTGGTTGTCTGCTTAAGAGTACGGGCCTTGTGTGGACCCATGCACTAACAGGAAGCTGCTCCTGCCGCTAACTAGCCAGCTTCCCACTAACAAAAGGCTGACTTTCCAGGCCACCAGGTTGCCACTGAAGTCATTTCCTGACTCTACTTCCCACAACCAGTGCTGTTACTTCCCTTCCTGCGCTGGGCAAAAAAAATCAGGAAAGTGGTCTGCCATGATCTAACAAATTGGTGGAGCAAACTTGAATGGGCTCAATGGACTCTTCCTGTTTCCATGTTCCTCCCTCCAGCTTTCCCATTCTATTGATGACACTATTAGAAAAGAGAAAAGAGTTTCTCTTGGTGTCCTGGCCAACAATCCCTCAAGCGGGGGGAAAAAGGGATCATTTGCAGTAAAATTTGGGTGCGCAAATTGGTGGCAGGATTTGCTTCCAAATACACTATCATGACACTATATAGAAGAAGTCTGTGATGTGCTTTGAGTCAATTCAACATGATAAAGCGCTACATCAAATGCAAGGATTAGCATTATTATTGTCCGGCAAGAACCATCCTACCTGTTAGAGCCTTGGCTTGTTGGGTGAACAGGAGTTGAGTGGAAAGAATACCAGATGTGAGTGACACCTGTTAAACGTTCTCCGACTTACCTCTATGAAGGCATTCAAGGTGGCGTTTGTAGGGTTGTGAGTGATGAGAAACCTCATGTGCTTGTAGCAAACTTCCACAGGTGCCGGGCGGTTCATGCGAGCCATTGTGCTGTGCAGGAAACCCCCCCACCGGGCGGCCCTCCTAGGGCAGGAGATGAGTGCCAGTCACACAAGCTTCCCCAACCTCTCCCAGCTAACACACATGCAACTCTCTTCATGCGATGTTTTGTTTTTCTCTTTCAAAAAACCCACAGGTTGCTCCTCGGAGAAAGGGAACAAAATACTCTCCGTTGCAGTCTCTCTTCTCCCGGTTCCTCTCTCGCCGTCTCGACTTTCTCTGCCCCCCCAGCCCACCCCACCCAAACCATGAACGGCTTTATAGGGGGTCGGCAAATTCAGCTATCCTGCATGAATGTGCATCGCAGTTAAAACAGCAATGGAGGGGGGGGGGGGGGGGGGGGGCGGATGGTTGGCCAAGGAGACGTCAGTTCTCTCCCTCCCCTTACTCTTGCGAGGAAAGCGGCTCTCGTGGCTTATCCCAAGGCTCCAGCCTTCAGGCTCGTGTTCAGGGATCTAATCGTCTGCTGTGATGCTATGTTGTGCTGGGCAGTAGCCGCTGCTGTTTCTCATAAACTCCATAAACGTGTGTTGAAAGGAGCTGCTGAAGCACTGAAAGAAGAAAAAAGAGGGAGTTAAAAAAATATTCCCTCTACTCCCTTTTTTCCCTCTACACAGAGAAAAATATGCACTGATAGCTTGACACCACTGCTGTGCGGAATTGGCTACCGCGTTTTGCCCACAAATAGGCGTTCCATTCACTTTGCACTAGATCATGTGAAGCGCTTTGAGATGTCGCAACTATATGATAAAGCACTTTATCAAATGTAAAGAATATTATTATTATTATTATTATCATCATCATCACAGGTCATGGTCAAGTGACACCACCTGACTGCTGATTGTGCCCTGTTATAAGGCGGGTTGGGATTTTATACACACCACACATTTTCAGTCCAAGGACCACATCATAAGGGAGGGCTCTACTCTACTCCACTCTAGGTTAAACAGACAACTTTCTTCAGCTCAACGTGCGAAAAACCGAGGCCCTCCTGATTGGCTCACGTCAGCGCCTCCGCACCTCAGGCGCTGACACCATCAGCATCCAAGGCTGCACTCTCCACCTCTCAAAGCCAGTCAGGAACCTCGGCGTTTTGTTCGACCCTGAGCTGTCCTTTCTCCCTCACATCCGCACCACAACTGGCACCGCCTTCCATCACCTCCGGAACATCGCCAGACTACGGCACTACCTCATCCCTCACGCTGCTGAAACCCTGGTTCACGCCTTTGTCACCTCAAGGCTGGACTATGGGAACTCTCTCCTCGTCGGCCTTCCCGCCACCTCCCTCCACAAGCTGCAGGTCATTCAGAACTCTGCAGCTCGTGTACTGTCCCGCACCAGGCTTCGGGACCACATCACTACCACCCTCGCTCACCTCCACTGGCTCCCCATCCCCCAGAGGATTGATTTCAAGATCCTCATCCTCACCTATAAGGCCATCCACGGCCTTGCTCTCTCCTACCTCTCCGACCTACTAACCCCCTACCTACCTGCCCGTACCCTCCGTTCCTCTGGCTCCGGTCTGCTCCACGGCCCCTGCCCCAACCGCCCTACCATCGGTGGCCGGGCCTTCAGCCTCTCAGCCCCCAGGCTCTGGAACTCCATCCCCCAGTGCCTTCGCCGCCTCCTCCCTTTCCTCCTTCAAGGCCGGTCTCAAAACCTTTCTCTTTGACCGAGCCTTCAGCTCCCCTCTCGACTCTCTTCCCCCTCCTCGCTCCCTCCCTTCCCTCCCCTCACCCTGACCATTTCCCCCCTGCTCGGGTCATGACCCAACTGTGCAGCGCCTTGGGACGTCCTCCTGACGTGAAAGGCGCTTTATAAATGGAATCTTGTTGTTGTTGTTGTTGTTAAAGTTTCTATCAATATATTACAGTCAGTATAATTTAAATTATAGAAATATGAGATAGGATTGTGCTAAGGGAGAAAGGTCATCCATCATAAAAGTCTGATCAAAGCAATCACCTCACACCCCGCAGCAGTAATAGTCCGTTAACAGGAAACTAGTCCTGCTTTAAGTCTTTGCAAAGTTTTAACAACCTATTACTGACACCTTATTAAAGTCAATACAAGAGATCAACAATGAGTGATGAGTTATTCACATCCCACACACACACACACATATACAGAATGCAATTAACGCTTTGCTCTTCCACACATGCTGATATTTACATGAGGACATCTGATACCAATTAAGCGTTGAATACGACAGCAAAAGAAACAGAATCTCAACAGAGATGGCTACCGACCAAGAGCGCAAGGTGTACAGGTCTTAATTTGGTTCAGTAAGCTCGGCGGCTTCAGTACATTCTAAGTGCTGGAAGAAGTTACTATTTCGATTTTCTTATCAAAGCCCCACCATTCCGCCTCCCCGAGAAAATCACAGTCTGCCCAGGTCTAGATTTACTCTATTATTTGGCGACTTGTTAATGGCTAATTCACTTCACGGCTGTTTATGGAACATTGCCATGTGCAAATTGGCTGCCACTTTTGCCTACAAAATACACAGCATCTACTCTATACCTCCAACAATGCAGCACATTCCAGTATTGTATTGGAGTGCCAGCCTATTCAAGCCCTGACACTAAAAGTCCCGACGTGGGGCTTGAATCCATAATCTTCTGACTGAGGCACGTTCACATCTGATCAGTGAAAGAACATGCTTGCAAGTAGCATTGGAGGGTAAACATTGAACTGCTGTTAAAAACAGAGCAATCACATACGCTTCATCCCCAATGCCTGGAGGGACTGCACTGTACAGGAACGTTAAAAAATGAAGCATTTCCTACCCCTTATCCCCTGCAACCCACAAAATATACAGTCAATTCACTTTACAGTATATTCTGCGAAACGCTTTGAGACGTCTCAATGACGTGATAACAACAACAAGGTGATAAGGCGCTATATCAAATGCAAGGATTATAATATCCCCCCTCCCCCCCGCACACACAACTAAACACTTGCCGGCAGATTTGGAATATAGCAAAGTCCTTATTTGGCTGCCAAATTGATAGATTGCCACCTTATGGTAATTCTTCACACTCCCCACCGCCTTCCAAATTAATGTAGACATTTCACTAAAATCCAGCTCTACGCTTGTGCACAGACTCTTATTGGAAAGGCAGGGTTGTAAACAACAGGGCTGCTTGAACAAATAGCTTGAATCAAACTGCTAAATCCTACCTTCATTTTCCCACTTGTGAACTAAGCAGACCCAGGGCTGAAATAGACTGCTGATCGCATTGGTAAATCTGTTCCTATGTGAAATTTCTTTCAGCTGAAAACCTCTCACTTACCTCATGGCTGGAGCCAAGTACAGTGCAGAGCGCTGATCTTCACCCCAGAATACTTCCCCGCCCCCCCCCTGGCTAATGACTATCTCTGCCCCAAACCAGTTGCAACTGCATAAACCTGCCATATGACACTGACAGCAGTTATTGCTAATGTCAGAAACAAATGGGCTCTTAAGACTCTTTAAACTGAAAGCCAAGAACATTTGGGTCATGCAACTGCGCTGTTCCCATCTCTCAATCAAATCTGAAATTAGTAACAGACGCTTTTTTTTAAAAAAAAGATGATTTTAAGGTCTACATTAGGAGCTGTACATTTATCTAGAATTACCTAGATAGTTACAGCACAGAAACGGGCCTGTTGTTTTTTTACTTCATCCCTCCTAATCCCCTCAACTGAACCCTTCTATTCCTTCTCACTCCTGTGTACATTGCGTTACTTCCTAAATGTCAGCTGTGTCAACCTGGCTCAGTTTGAAGCATTCTAGCCCTCTGAGTCAATCTGCCTCACAACGTTGTGGGTTCAAGCTTAATGTCGGGACTTTGAACCCAGGTAGTTTAGATTGACACTGTAATGTATTGCTTGGGAAGCCTATATGTTAGAAATGCCACTCTTCAGATGGGACATTAAACCTAGCCTGTCTGCTTGGTGGGCATTAAGGATCCCATTCAAAAAGAAAAGGGAGTTTCTCTCTGTATCCTGGCCAACCATCCACCCCCCCCCCAAAAAAAAATAGAATTCGTCATTCACTTTGGGGCACTGCTGTGCGCAATTGGCTGTCGTGTCCAGCTACAAAGTGCACAGTCACTACGTTTACAGTGAATCCGGTGAAACACTGTGAGATGTCCTCCCTCATATGCAAGGATTATAATTTAAACCCGTTGAATCTTTCTGCTTCAATCACAGCTTCCAGGAGTAGGAAAACTAGCGATTGGCTCGGCTTTGCAGGAAATCTATATGGCTCAAAATGCAATCCACGTGGAGTTTTCAGAGACAGACATTTCCTTATTTAGTAAGAATAATAATCCTTGCATTTGATATAGCGCCTTATCACTTCATCAAGACGTCTCAAAGCTATGCACAGGATATATATACACACACATCTTAGTTTGCAATACATAAAAGCTCTTTCAAACTGAGTTGGAGTCCTAGAATCATAGAATGTCACAGCACAGAAACAGGCCCTTGAACTCTTAATTTCTTTTTGCCAGAAACTGTGGACTTTGTTTATATGATATATATATAAGGGTTTATTATATATATACTATATATATATACCAGTGTAGTGACACTATTTTTGTAGGCAAAAGTGGCAGCCACTTTGCTCACAGCAATGTCACACAAACAGCCATGAAGTGAATAACCAATGGGGAATTGTTGCCCAGCCATCAACAAGCCTGGTTGGTAACACTCTTGCCTCCAAAGCAGAAGATTATGAATTCAATAACAATTTACATTCATACAGTGCCCTTCACATGGGGCAGCATCTCAGAGCATTTAACAACAAAAACTAGTTTGGATTTATATAGCACCCTCCACGCCAGACGGCGTCTCAGAGCGCTTCACAGTAACGGATCCCGGGGCCGAGCCAGGGGGAGGGGGAGGAAGGTGACCAAAGCTGCGGTCGAAAAGAAAGGTCTTCAGCAGAGACCTGAAAATGGGAAGGGAGGGAGCGAGACGAAGGGAGTGAGGAAGGCAGTTCCAGAGCCTCGGGGCATAGTGGCTGAAGGCACGGCTGCTGAGGGTAGAGCGGAGGACTCGGAGGACAAGGAGGAGGCCAGACCCGGAGGAACAAAGGCACAGCGGTAAAACCAGCGGTGGGGAGGAAGGAAGTAACGCTAGACATCAAGCCCGTATTGGCACTTTGACCTCACGAAGTTCAATGCATTGTCACAGCACTTCCCTTGTCCTCGCAGCATCGCCTCAATCCACAGGAAATTACATCAGCGGCGACCGGGTTACCCAGAAGCTGACCGGTAGCCATTTTTGTTGTGCCTCCTTATTACTGTGGATGCCCAAACCATATTTTA